GAGAACCCTCTTTAGCACGGGTGCCACCCCCGAGCCCGCGGGGATAAGCCACGACAGGAACCCCAGGACTAGCACCCTCCTCAACGCCAGCACCCCCAAAGTCCATGAACGGCTACTGCTGCTGTGACGGCGGCGGCTGCTGCGGCGGCGGCGAAAACGGCTGCGGCGGCGATTGCGACGACGGAGGAGGGGACACCGGGGAAGAGGCAGGCAACAAGAATTGTGCCGCGGGGCCACCAGAGTCAGCCGACTCCCCGACCGGGAAAACCGACGAGAGGGGAGTGACGTGAGACAAACCAGAGGGGGCAGGACAGGGAGGGAGGGGAGCAGGGGCTACCGGGGGAGTGGTAACCAAAAACAGAGATGGGGCAACCGGGAGACCTCGGTGGGGAAAGCGACGGTAAAAAGAGACTGACTCGTTGAAAGTGACGTCACGCGAGTGAAGGAAGCGGTGGTAAAAGTGTCAGTTAGACGAGTCAAGGGGGAAACCAAGGAAGACATAGGGGAAAGTGCGGGCAGTGAGCTTATCCGTTCCAGAGGCATGAAAGTGAGCGGGGCATCCCTAGACGCGGAACGTAGACGCGTCACCAGGAGACCCGGTCCAGAGGAGGGTTGGTGAAACCTGCGCCGCCAGTCGACCACGGCGGCGGGGATCCCCACGGCGACGGCTGTAGCTGCGACAACTGCGGCTACTGCTGAGGCTGCTGCTGCTGCTGCTGCTGCTGCTGAGGTTGCGCCTGCTGCTGCAGCTGCTCCGGGGCACTATCCCTGGTCCCCTCGTCTGAACCACCATCCCCGCCCTCACCGCCGCCACCCTCCCCATCACCACCCCCCTTCCCCCCACCACGCCCCCCTTTGGGGCGGCGACCCTTACCCGGACGCTTCTGCGCTGAGGCCACCGCAGCAGTCTCAGCAATAGCAGTAGAGATATCAGAGTAAGTGCAGTGGGAAGGAGCACAACCCTGAAAGATAGGTACCACCGCAATACCGTTGGACTGAGCGATACTGCGCTGGCGGGTCTCTATCTTAGACAGGGGAGTGACAAAGGCAGTAAGAGTGAGGTCACCTAGGTGCTGACTAAGGAAGTGGTCGCGGGCTATGGCTAGGCGGTTAGGGAAGCGCGTGGCAATTAGATAAAGGGTAGCGCAGAACGGCGGCATGAAGGCAGTGAGCTATGTCTCAATGCTAGCAACGTGGTAGCTTGTCTCAAGCGCACGTAGGTGCGTGGCAAAGTCGGCGGCAGTGGGGAAGGACGGAAGATCAGGGAACAGCATGGGAAGGATCAGGCGACCAGCAGAGGCAGTGGCGGGGGTGGAATAGCGCTCAATGACATCATCTAGGAAGGCCTGGGCGTTCGCTACAATGGTAAAGCGAGGACGCTCAGACAGCGGGAGTGCACGGCTGATAGCAAGCTGGGCGACTGCGTCACGCGAGTCCCAGACGGCACGATCAAGCACAGCAGCGGAAAAGGCCTCACGCTCAGCAGAGGTGGGGGCAGCAGGGAGGGCAGCAGGGGCAGGGGGGCGGGGAAGCAGGCCATTGACATGAACAGTTAGGGAGTGACCGTCCTAGCGCTGACCTGTAAGGTGACGTCGAAGGTCGACGAGCCATGCCTCAATGTCTTGCTCCCGACCCTCTGCGTCCAGACGGAGCTGTGACTCCGCCATCGCCACTGCTGCAGCTGCTGACGGCTGCTGACAGAGTGAGGAGGATAGGTGGAGGAAGCGGTGAAGAGCAGTGGAGTGCGGTGGAGAGCGGTGGAGTACGGTGGAGTGCGGTGGAGAGCGGTGGAGTACAGTGGAGTGCGGTGTAGTGTGGTGGAGTGCGGTGGAGTATAGTGTAGAGTAGTGGAGTGCGGTGGAGTGCAGTGGAGGGCGGTGTAGTGCAGTGGAGTGAGGTGGAGAGCAGTGGAGAGTGGGGGAGACAGTCGGCAGGGAAGCCGGCGCTGAAGGGAGCCAGAGTTGGTGGGTCGGCGCTGGAGCCGGCTGGCTGGGCGGCTAGCTGGGCGGCTGGTTGGCCGACCAGCTGGCGAGGGCCAACGGGGCGCGGGCGGGGCCGGTAGGGCGCTAACGGGACCGGTGGGGCGCTAACAGGCCGGCGGGGCGAGCAGGGCCAGAGGGGCGTACGGGACCGACGGGGCGCTAACGGGGCTGGTAGGGCGCTAACGGGCCGGTGGGGCGAGCAGGGCTAGAGGGGCGCACAGGGTCGACGGGGCGAGAGCGGGGCCGGCAAGGCGCTAACGGGCCAGTGGGGCACTAACGGGCCGGTGGTGCGAGCGGGGCCGGAGGGGCGCACGGGGCCGAGTGGGCGCGAACGGGGCCGTAACGGGGCTAACGGGTCGGCGGGGCATGAACGGGCCGGCGAGGCGAGCAGGGCCAGAGGGGCGCATGGGGCCTACGGGGCGCTAGCGGGGCTAGTAGGGCGCTTACGGGCTGGTGGGGCGCTAACGGGTCGGCGGGGGGCGAACGGGGCTGACGGGCGCTATTAGGCTAGAGGTGGCCGACGGGCAGGGTTCAGATCTCAGACGAAATCGGTCTGATGGTCTAAAAATCAGACCTGTTTTTTTCCTTTCATCTGATTTTTTTACGGGCTAAATCAATTGGTATGATCGTCCAGATAAGCCATAAGATTCCGTCTGAAAGTTCAGACCAGGTTTAGACTTTCGTTTGAGAAATCAGATAACGGGTATTTTTTTGTCTGAGACTCTCGGGCATTCCTCTTCGTTCCCCCATCCCTCCCCCTTCCCCCCCCCCACAACTGAGGATTTTTTGGCTAAGTCCTCGACTGCCAGGTACATTCCCCCCACACCCCTAGAATACCTAATTTTTTCCGGCGAAGTGCCCCACACAAGAGATATTCCTCCACACACCCCTCGCAACAATAATTTTTCGGTTAAGTCTCCCACACCAACCCAAAAAAATCGGCGAAGTCCTTAACTGCAAGATACATTCCCCCACACACCCCTCACAACCCGGTTTTTCCGGCTACAGTATTCTCCCGTATACAGCACCCCGCAAAATTGAACTCCCATGGGTGGCTTGAGAGGACATGGGTACTTAATTAAACTGGATATACATAACACCCGTCTTTTTTGCCTGCAAATATTTGAACACCCCCCCGAAACCTTCAACCTCGATTTTGAGTAGCGTAGACGAGCGTTACCCTCTTTTCCAACCACTGTTGCTGTGCCATCACCTGAGCGTGAGAGCGAGTGGGAAACTTAAGGAACCTATACAGCGCGGTTCAAGGGGTGCGACGCAGAAAATTACGAGACCCATTTTGACTGCCCCAACTAGTGTGTCCCTTCCCTTGAATCCTCGAAAATCAATGTTCGCTAGTTGAGTTTCGGGTCGCGCTCGCCTTCTCGCCAAGAAAATCGTGCCCTAGGGTGCTTTATACGGAGGAATACGGTAAGTCCCTGCTACCCTGCTTCCACATTGTTTTTTCTCCTTCGTCGCTTGACTGGACTGGGGGCAGGGTGGAAGGAACCCTGAAATTGCTGGGCAAACAGAGGGGGCTGCCTGCACGTGACACGTCACGCCACCTGCGAGTGTTCCTACCAGAATCCGAAGGCATGTATCTTACAGTTTCGGAACCTAGGTCCGGTTACACATTTCGCAGCACATTTCGACAGGGCTTCGCGAGCTCCTCCCCAGGCAAAATCTTCGCCAGTTCCGGAACTTCCAGAATCGGAACCGTAAGACACATGCCTTAAGAGCGTTTTCCTACGGCCTCTGCACAAGCCTGCCTGTTCCCAGACTCGCACGCTTCAGTGCCGTGCAATGACTCTTGCGCTCTTCTGCGTGGTTCAGACTGACGAGGTTCAGGGCATGTTTTAAACTTCTTCGCAGACGCACATTTTCCAGAGATGCGCGGGTCTCTACAGCTCGATTATGACCCGAGCAGAATCAAAGCGGTTAAGAAAGTGATACTGAAACGAAGTGAGCTTGACAAGAAAACCTTTGAGCACGCTCTCAGGCGAGGACCGAGTTTGGGAATTGGGTAGCCTGGGAAGAGGTTTGTAAGAAGACGCTCTTAGCAGAAAACGAACAACTCGAGGTCGAAATTACGAGGGACGAATATTCTTGCGCAAAAATTTCGTCTGAATTTTAAGACCAGTGTAAAAGTTTCATCTAAAATCTGAGACTCATTGAAAATTTTCGTCTGATGGTCAGACCAAACTTTTAAACCCCGTCTGATTCTCAGACAGCCCTAAATCTTAGCTGAAACCCTGCCGACGGGGCACGAACGGGGCGCTAACGGGCCAGAGGAGGGGCGCACGGGGCCGACGGGGCGCTAAGGGACGGCTAGGAGCGGGCGGCTAGGCCTAGGACGAGAGCGGAAGCGCGGGTGGGCGGGGGAACCTAACCTAGCGGGTGATACCATCTCAGAGTAGAAAAGTTGACTAGAATGAGGCATACATGTTGATTTTGTTCAAGTGGTTGTACCCTCTGAGAGCATGCACATCTAACCTATTATAACATATACAAATATGTTTGACATGCGTTGGGAAAGAAACACATTGGTTGGCCAATGTAAACTTATTTTTACGTATTGCCATCACAACCATGATATTGATCGTGGGGAGTGAATCTAATTCTCTTTCCACTATTAGCCACGAGGGCTAAGTGGCTAATGAAACATCCACAACAATGCTTTCTTGTAAAGCTACGCAAGTTTTCCTAAGACGAGAGCAGGAGGTGTCGCTGCTGCTTGACACGAGGTCGCGCTGTCTGATCCATATTGCAGTACAGTGCCAGTTGCGAAATCAAGAATACGCCCACAATGCAGCGCGTCTTGCCACCTGCGATGCTCCCTCCCTTTTGCCTCTTCCCCATCTCGACTGAATTCCCGCTCCGACATTGCCGCCACCACCTGCCGCCATATTGCTTGCAACCCATCCCAACCCACTCAAAAAGCGACAGATGCACGAGGGAAGCACAAGTGCCTGATGACCACATCTTCACGCGGCTTTGCATCTCTCCCCTTCTGGAGCTTCCTCAACCCTCTCTCCTTCAGCATTAGTCGGTCTCAAGCTAGTGGTCTGACGCTGCTAGTGTAAGCTCAGGTGCAAGCTCGAATACTGTATCTTGCAATTCTTGGAGGCTTCAGTAGTACATTTGAATGTGCTCCACCGCCTGTAGACGTTCCAGCTGAGTTTGACTGAAGCCTGAATTTGAGTGAAGCCCTCCTGCTGTACTGTAGCTCCCACGAGATCAACGCGTACTTCTCACCGCATCAGCATTCAACCTCCCACATTTTCAACCTGTCGTTCGCACCGCATCAGCTCCAGTTTCCCCACAATCCGTCCGCCATGCTTCCCGTCTTGGCGGCGGACACAAGTCCGTCTATGTTCTAAGACCCCTCAAAACCATTCACTACTTACCACCTCACCTCATCAGCTCCTGATTCCCATCAACTTATATTTCCCGTCGGATCCTCGCCTAGCCGCCATGCTTCTCGTCTTCGTGGCGGACGCGAGTCCGTCCCTGTTCTAGGCCCATGTTTTAATTTTGAGGCGCCTCAAAACTAGACTTCTATTTCGTGGCGGACACGACTCCGTCCCTGTTCGAGGCCCATGTTTTAAGGCCCCCTAGGACCCCTGAAAACCATTCACTACTTCCCACCTCATCACCTTCTGATTCCCGCCAGCCTCTATTTCCCATCAAGCTATAATTCCCGTTGTTAACATCGTTCACGAGTCTACGAGTTCCCAACAGGTCAGCGTGTAGCACTCAGTCAGTCATCCCCACCTGCCGCCATCATGCTGCTGGTGTTCGTGGTGGGCACGAGTCCGGCCGTGCTCTGAGGCGTCCCACAACGAGGTGACTTTTGAGTCGACTCAAAATGCTCTGAGGCGTCCCACAACGAGGTGACTTTTGAGTCGACTCAAAATGCTCTGAGGCGTCCCACAACGAGGTGACTTTTGAGTCGACTCAAAATGCTCTGAGGCGTCCCACAACGAGGTGACTTTTGAGTCGACTCAAAATGCTCTGAGGCGTCCCACAACGAGGTGACTTTTGAGTCGACTCAAAATGCTCTGAGGCGTCCCACAACGAGGTGACTTTTGAGTCGACTCAAAATGCTCTGAGGCGTCCCACAACGAGGTGACTTTTGAGTCGACTCAAAATGCTCTGAGGCGTCCCACAACGAGGTGACTTTTGAGTCGACTCAAAATGCTCTGAGGCGTCCCACAACGAGGTGACTTTTGAGTCGACTCAAAATGCTCTGAGGCGTCCCACAACGAGGTGACTTTTGAGTCGACTCAAAATGCTCTGAGGCGTCCCACAACGAGGTGACTTTTGAGTCGACTCAAAATGCTCTGAGGCGTCCCAGAACCACGCGCGAGTCTACGCTTTCCCCTCGCACCGATCAGCGTGTAGCTCGCACCGATTCAACCATAGCCATCATGCTGCTGGTGTTCGTGGTGGACACGAGTCCGTCCATGGGCCAGCGCATCGCCAACGGGCTCACGCTGCTCGATTGCGCTAAGAGCGGCATCGAGCACTTCCATAAGGTAGGTCGAACAGAATTCCGTTTCCTATGTTGTTTTTTTATCGATCTACGACATCAGCTACCTGTTTATGTACCTGTAGAGTCTGCGACTTTTGTGATAGTTGCTTGACTCGGTGGGGTTCTTTGATGACGCTATCCTGACAGCTACCTTTTGAGCTGAAATGCTTCACGATTATAGGCGCTCAACCGGCGTGTTTGATGACGCCATACTTATCCCTTAGGTTCCATTATTTTAGCCTTCAGGTCGACTTCTTAGCCATGCGTGACGAACGTTTCTTTTTGACGTCATTCTTCGTTACATCAGCATTCTTAGTTACATTCCAGATGCCTCTCTTTATACTTAGCAGTGACTGCTGTGACTGCGATCATGCATAGGGAATCAGAAGCGGATGCACGCTTCAATAAGCTGTAACTCCCCATGGTTCTGTGCTCTGTGTTGCAGGTTCGGCAACGAGACATTTCTGCCAGATCCGATAGGTCAGTAAAGCCTTCCCTGCAAAGTCTGCTGAAAAAAAAAACCCTTTTCTGTATCTCAACTCAATGCTTTTTCTTGAAAAATGGGCCTGTCAGATGCGAATTCCGTCCTTCTGTTCCCTCCCTTAATCTGAACAGTTTGTCTGACGTTCCAATGTGGCTGGTGCAACAAGCTGCAGTACCTTACCTACGAATCAGTGCTTTTTTCTCGTCAGTGTTCTGTGCATATTAGAACTCTGTTTCCCCCAGTCCGATTCGTTTCTTCAACAATTGCAGGCTTTGCGTCACGCCACTTCTCCTCCTCCCACCCGATCGATACGCGCTTTTGAGTCGACTCACAAGCTCACTTCTCCTCCCACCTGATCGATATGTATTTCATTTCGCACATCGTGACTTGCCCTCTGTCCGTATCCCAGGTACATGCTGGTGACATGCGACGAAGGCGCATCAGCTATCAAGGTGCGAGTGGATGGATGACATGGGCTCTATCCACCCCATCCCCAATTCCCCAGTCCACCCCATCATGGGTTTTTGCCGTGATCTGTCGCCCACCCCCCTCTTGTCCCTGTCAAGCTCGCGGCTTGTTACACATCACCTTTCATGCCTTTCGCGCTGTTCACCTCACCAGCATCCCTGCACCCATCCCATGCCTCCCTTGCCTCGGTGCTCACCAGCCTCCGAGCGCCCATCCCATGACCCTTGCTTCTCTCGCTTTCCCCCCTCTCCTTGGCTGGTCGACCGAATCCCCTTTGTCAATATCCTCAAAGTACCAACCATTCCACACATCCCCTCGCCGTCACCAGCATCGGGCACTGCACCGATCCGTTCCCCGTGATTCCCTTGTTGTTAGCCATGATAGAAGGCTCAGGTGGCCGCGTTCCCCTTGATTCCCTTGTTGTTCGCCATGATAGAAGGCTCAGGTGGCCGCGTTCCCCTTGATTCCCTTGTTGTTAGCCATGATAGAAGGCTCAGGTGGCCGCGTTCCCCTTGATTCCCTTGTTGTTCGCCATGATAGAAGGCTCAGGTGGCCGCGTTCCCCTTGATTCCCTTGTTGTTAGCCATGATAGAAGGCTCAGGTGGCCGCGTTCCCCTTGATTCCCTTGTTGTTAGCCATGATAGAAGGCTCAGGTGGCCGCGTTCCCCTTGATTCCCTTGTTGTTAGCCATGATAGAAGGCTCAGGTGGCCGCGTTCCCCTTGATTCCCTTGTTGTTAGCCATGATAGAAGGCTCAGGTGGCCGCGTTCCCCTTGATTCCCTTGTTGTTAGCCATGATAGAAGGCTCAGGTGGCCGCGTTCCCCTTGATATCCCTGCCTCCTCTCCCCTCAGGTGGCTGACCGCTTCCCCTTTGCCAATCCGTGTGCATTAACTCGTTGATTTTTTACGTCTCAAAACACAATCCACATGCACCCATCACGCCCCTTGCCTCCCCTCTCCCCAGGTGGTCGACCACTTCCCCTTTGCCAGTTTCGTGCGGGTCCTCAAGGCCGTCAAGGAGGGGGGTCTCTCGTCCATCAGCCTGTGGGATGTCTCAAAGCCCAATTCTTCCCTCTCCTCTGCTCTCCCCAAGTGGTCGTCCGCGTCTCCTTTGCCACTTTCCTCAAGTTGGGCCAATCCACATGTACCCTACCCATCACGCCCCTTGCCTGTCTGCCCTCTCCCCAGGTGGTCGACCGCTTCCCCTTCGCCAGTTTCCTGCGAGTTCTCAAGGCCGTCAAGGTGGGGGGTCTCTCGTCCATCGGCCAATCACTGCGTGCCACGTTTGACCTGCTGCACACTCAGCGCCTCGCTGCAGACGTGGACAGATGGGGTGAGTGCGGCTGGGTTGACAGATAAGGTGACTGTTGGTGATGTGACACGAAGGTACCTTTCCAGCAGATTCAAAGGTCACACAGACAGGTGGTGAAGTATATGTGTGGTGTGCTTGTTTCTCCTCACACCCTTCGTCTTAGCCCCTCTCTTCTTCTTCGTCCCTTGCCCCCTTCCGTTCCGTACTGCTGTGTCTCCGTCCGTAGCATGTAATCTCTTTCTGCTTCAGGTCTCTCTTTTCGCCTCCCACCCCTCACTCCCCCATAACCGTTCGCCTCTCCTCCTTCACCCCTCCCTCTCCCCTCCTCCCGCCCGCCATCTCATGTCACACTGTCTCACCTGCCTCTTTCCAGGCATGGGTCGCAATCTCGCATCTGTGGATCCGACGGTCGTCATGCTTCTCACGGATGGCACACATTTCACATCGGTAGGTCCCTCGCTTCCAAAGATTCACCGTAGAATGCCTCTAAGAATCCGATATGTCCAGCGGCAGCATCAGGCCAAGCCTCGCAGCCCTACAGAGGGCATCACCAGCGTATGGGCGACCATTCTGCCCTTCCCATGCGTCAATCCACAGCACCTCGGCAAAAGCCTGCCTTCCTTTCATCCCTCCCTCCACCTGCACTCTTGCTCTTCCCCGGCCCCCTGGTCCGCACCTTTTGAGTCGACTCAAAAGCTTGCTCTTCCCCGGCCCCCTGGTCCCCACCCTTTCCCTCTCCCACCCCAGCGCTTTGGCATGTCAACCAGCCTGGCCCTACCCGCCATCAGCAAAAGCTCATCGCCGGCATCTGACTTGAGCTCGCAGCCGTTCCGATGGGAGCAGCGCGTGCTGGCCACCATCCTGCGCATCCCGTGCGTCAAACCGGAGCACCTTGAGAGGATCGGCCCTCTGCCTGCTGCTGGGCCCATCTCGGAGTCGCCTGCTGCCGTTGCGGTTGACACGAGTATCTCGGCGCTCTGTGAATCCACCGGGTGAGTGAGAGAATGTGTGGTGCGTCTGGAGAGAGGAGAGGTGTGTTTGTGGGGAGAGCGGGCGAGTGTGTGCTTGTACTGGTTGTGCTTGTGCCGGGCCCATCTCTGATTTCCCTGCTGCTGTCGCTGTTGACACGAGTATCTCGGCGCTCTGTGAATCCACCCACTGGATGGGTGTGACAGAGAGAGTGCTGGCAGACTGGAATGCTGGGAGAGTGTGTCTGTCTGTGTGCGTGTGCTGCTGCTGGGCCTGTCTCTGACTCGCCTGCTGTCGCCGCTGTTGGTAGGAGTGTATCGGCGCTTTGTGTCCACTGGGTGAGAAAGAAAGCGTGTGGGGATGGACTGGGGCGAAAGGGGAGTGTATGGGGGAGAGAGCTCGTGTGTTTTTTGTGCGTGTGTGTGCTGCCGGACCCATCTGTGAGCCACCTGCTGCGGCGATGGCTGTTGTCTTAAGCATATCGGCGCTTGGCGAATCTGCTGGTCGGGTGTGAGGGAGAGAGGGAGTCCTTGCTGGAGGATCCGAAGTGTGCCTGCTTGTTGTCTTTGCCATAGGCCATCTGACTCGCCTACTGTTGCGGCTTTTCGCACAAGCATATCAGCTCCCTGTGAATCTCCGAGAATGCAATTTCCGCTGCCTTTTTCACCACCCTGCTGTATGTCCTATGCGTGTGCGCATTCTGCTGAGAGTGTCATGTAGGGCCCTTCAGCAGCAGAAGACTATGTACGTAGCCAGTCTTGTGCTGAAGGGCTCGTCACATAGTCTTCTTCACTCGCCTTCATCTCCCCCTCTCTGCTCTCATAACACGCTGCCATCTCCCACCTTACTCTCTCTCTCCTTTCTCACACTCTCCCAAAATCCCACCCCTCCCTCCATCCCCCATTCCTTCCTTGACTTCTGCATGTAACCCCACCACACAGTGGCAAGTGCAGTGTGGTAACCAGCTGGAAGATGCTCTTCCAGCACCTAGATATTGTCGCCTCTCGCCTCTCGCCAGCTGTCATCGTCTCATTCGACCACGTCCCCCTGCCGGGCGGCGCACCCATGCCACCCCAAGTCCATGCGGCATGCCAGCGAAAACTACTGTTCATTCGCAACCTGCCTTCCGCCGGACCTGCAGGCTCGGCGGCAGGCTTGGCAGGCTCGCTGTCAGCTGCATTAGGCCCTCCCGGAGCAGCAGCTTCGGCAGGGCAGCTTGGCTCGGCAGCGCAGCAGCAGGGGCCCGACCCTCAAGTGGTTTGGCCCATACCTGAGGCATTCTGGCCGGATTTCACCACTCCTTGTACCGCTGCTGTGGTAGTAGGGTCGGGGCAGGCACAGGGGGAGGGAGAGCGAGGGGAGAGAGGGGAGAAAGGGGAGAGGGTGGTGTTAGGAAATCTAGGTCCTCCTGTGCTCGCCAGCCCTCCTCTCTTCCCCCTCGCGACCCGCACCCGGTGATAACCTATCGGGCGGTGGATACTGACGCACGTTTGCCGCCCGGGATAGTAGCAGACAAGTACGAGATCGAAGGGTGCCCCATCCTGGGGTTTCTCAGCAAGGCTGGGCCCAACGTGTGCTGGCAGGTTAGTTTTTTACTGGGGGACAGGTTGTTCCGGACAGGTTTTTACTAGACAGGTGATACTTGGGCAGGTATTATGAGATCGAGGGGTGCCCCATCCTGGGGTTTCTCAGCAAGGCTGGGCCCAACGTGTGCTGGCAGGTGGGTTTACGGAAGGTGGTACTCAAAAGGGTGAACCACAGTGAACAAGTTTGTCACTGAAACAGCAAGGCCGGGCCCAACGTATGCTGGGAGGTGAGTCCCAGACTCGGAGAGGAAGTTAGTGCGAGGACAGGTGATTCTTGGTTGGGCATACGATCAGGGGTCTCCCATCCTGGGGATCCTCAGCAGGGCTGGGTGTAGTCTGTGCTGGCAGGTGGGTTTAGGGAGGGTGGGTCTGTAACAGGTGGTACTTGAGAAGGTGATATTCAGACAGGTGGTTTCTGCACCAGTTTGACGTTTGAGAGAGGTGCCCCATCCTGGGTTTTTTTTTCCAGCAAGGCCGGGCCAAAACCTGTGCTGGCAGGTCCATTGGGGCAAGTGGTTTCTTAACAGGTGGTCGTCGTTCAGAAGTCGCTTTGTTTGTTGTGCTCTTTGCTTTCCCATACCTGGTTACCCGGTTCCTGAAGTTCCTAGTATTCGCTGATATGTGCATGATGTGTGTGTTCGCGCCGGCAGGTGTTTGTGCGGGGGAGCAAGGGTCCGCGGCACGGCCTCGGGGATCCCTTTGGGTGAGTCGCTGTCTTGTGCACGGCGGGACCTGTCACCCCTCCCTCGTACATCGCAATGGCCACTTGAACCTGCATGTTTCGTTGTTGTGCCTTGCACTGTTTTCTCCATTCGCAGTGCTCTTTCACTTCTCTCTTTCTTTACTTCGGCTCAATCACATGGCTTCCGATCTCCTCCGTATCCCCCGGTTCTCTGTCCTCAGTGTTCTCCTTTGTGCTCCATCCGTGATCCCCATCCTATGCATGCAACCATGCCTGCAGCTATCTGAGAGTGAACCGTCCAGGCAGCTCACTGACTCTACACGTCCTGCCGTACAACTACCCTGTGAGTTTTGATGCCGGCTTTCTGTTGCCCTTTCCTGCCAACCAAACATTGACCCTGTTTATCAGATTTCTCAGCGCACCGTGCCTCCTTCGATATTCTTGTTTAACCAATCAAGGTCACACCTTCTCACCTACATAACCCATCTCTTCTTTCTCACCCATTACCCTGCAAAATGTAATGCTTGAGTAAGTACCGCTCTCTGTCCCCCCTTCACCTCTCCCTTTCGTCCAGGCGCTTTTCCCTCTTATAGAGCAACTCCAACGAATGCCGCCCCATTCAAGAGCCTCTCCCCCGGTCGGCTGGCGGCACGATTTCGAGCGTTACTGTGCCGGCGTCCCTCCGTACTATGCCGCCCCGCTCCGAGCCGCGCTGCGCAGGCTCGGCGTGACAGCGGTAGGCTCGGCGGTACCGGACCTGATGGATGCCAGCCTGGCAGCAGGCCCAGTGGCCTCGCAGCTTCGGCGGTGGCGTGTGAAGGCGAAAGGGGAGATAGAAGATCGGCTGCAGGAGATTGCAAAGGTTGGTGGTTTGTGAAAAGAGGGAGGGGGTAGAGCCTAGAGGGGAGTAGCCACAAATGGGTGAAGGCGAAAGGTGAGATTGAAGAACGGCTGCAAGAGATTGCAAAGGTAGGCGGCGCGGCTTGTAAAAAGGAGGGGCTAGAGGTTAGGGGGGAGTAGTCACTAATGGGTGACAGCGAAAGGGGAGATTAATGAACGGTTTCAAGAGATTGCAATGGTAGGCGGTCTGACAAAATGGAGAGGCTAGAGGGTAAGAGTCATAACTGGGTGAAGGCGAAAGGGGAGATTGAGAGGAACAACTGCAAGAAAATTGCACGGGTAAGAGAGGTTAGGATAGTGTAAGGTGATGGAAGGGGAGATTGAGGAGTGGTTGCTTGAAGGGTATTGGCAAAGTAGGGTTCATGGGGTCCTTGGTCGATTCAAAGTCTGCCTCCTTACACACTTTCTCGCTGTGTTAGGTATTTGAGAATTCTCAAAAACCTAACACAGAGAATTCAAAAAACCCCCACACAGAGAATTCAAAAAACCCTAACACAGAGAAATCTAAAAACCCTAACACAGAGAAATCTAAAAACCCTAACACAGAGAGTTCTAAAAACCCTACACAGAATTCTAAAAACCCTAACAGAGAATTTTAAAACCCTAACACAGAATTCTAAAAACCCAAACACAGAGAATTCAAAAAACCCGAACACAGAGAATTCTAAAACCCCAAACGCAGAGAATTCTAAAAACCCTGACACAGAGAATTCTAAAAACCCTGACACAGAGAATTCTAAAAACCCCAAATGCAGAGAATTCTAAAAACCCTAACACAGAGAATTCTAAAAAACCTGACACCGAGAATTCTAAAAACACTACCACTGAGAATTCTAAAAACCCTGGCACAGAGAATTCTAAAAACCCCGACACAGCCTCCTTGCGCACTTTCTCCCTGGTCTCCTAAGAAACCATCTCTAAGTGCTTTCTTCCATTTCACCAAACTTCTGCGGCATTTGTTTTGCCGTGCCCGTTTGCAGACGGCCAATCAGATGGCTCAATCTGCTGCTGCTCGCCCGCCTCCTCTGCCCACACTCTCCTTCAAGATCCCTCTGCCCTCCGTGGCACCACTCCCGGCATTCCTACCGCCACCTGACAAACCACATCCACAACGGCAGCAACAGCAGCAGCAGCAACAGCAGCAGCAGCACCAGCAGAAGCAACTGCATCAGCAGCAGCAGCAGAAGCCACTGCAAACGCAGCAGCAGCAGCAGCAACAGCAATACCACGTAGTGCAGCTGCTTCCACCCCCGCCGCCACCTCGGTCCTTCCCTGTCTTCCCCATCCCTCCACCCCCCGCCGCTCACTCCCACCCGCCCTTTGCCTCGACCAATCCACACGCTCCATCGGACCCTCCTTCCCTCCCTGTATCTGTGGAGGTTGGGGAGGCTGGTGTTTCCGGTGGTGCTTACAGTGCTGCTTCTTATGGTGCCGGTGCTTATAGCACTGGTGCGTCTAACGGTGGTGCTTATGGTGCTGGTGCTGGTCCTGCTAAGCCTGGTGCTGCTGCTGGTGGTGCTGCTGGGGGGTCAGGGGCGGGTTTGGGGGGTGTTGGTGCAGGGGGGGAAGGGAAAGGGCGCCAGGCAACCATCTTCTCGAATCCGTTTGAAGTTTCACGAGAGGATTCGCTGAGGTGAGTGGTTTGGTTTGCTATTGAGAAGTTTCACGAGAGGATTTGCAGAGGTGAGTGGAATGCTTTTGAGTCGACTCCAAGTCCTAAACTGAGATGCCTCAAATTGCGGCAGGCAAGCCCTCTCTCGATTTTCAAATCCATTTGAAGTTTTAATCACAGTACTCCCCTGCACAGTTCTAATCCTGCTCACAGTACACCCCCGACCTCTCCATTCACACCCATTAGGCGAGCGCTTCAGCTGCCACAACAGCATGCCGCCTTCTCAGCAGCGACCACCATTCCCCCCTCTCTCCCCTCCCACCCCCTCCCCCCCTTCCTCTGCCCCGCCCTCTCCTCTCGCACCCATCAGGCAAGCGCTTCAGCTGCCACGTCACCATGCCGCCTCGCCTTCTCAGCAGCAGTACCACTCGCTTTCTGCCAACCATTCTCCCCTCTCTCCCCCCTGCACCCCCTCCCACCTTTCCTCTGCCCCCCCCCTCTCCTCTCCCACCCACCAGGCAAGTGCTTCAGCTGCCGCTTCGCCTTGCCGCCATTCTCAGCAGCAGCAGCAGCAGCAGCACAGTTGCTGGCAGCGCACTCGGAGCATCTTCCGCACAGCGGTCCACACTATCTCAGCAGCAATGGTCGAAGAGAGCTGGCCAAGGGGCGAAGGGAGAAGCTTTCGCGCTAGACCCCATTCAGGAGGAACGGGTGCTGCTGCAGGGAGGGGGGGGTCGACCAAAGGGGGAAGCTGCGCCTGCTTCTGCAGCAGCAGCAGCAGCTAGGGCGCCGTTGTTCCCTGGTGGTTATGACGTGGACAGGTGGCGGGCTCTGATTGGCGTTGTGGGGAAGTGGGCGCTGCTGGCCGAAGAGGAGGCGAAGCACACAGTCAGCATTGAAAAGGTGCTCTTGAGATTGCACAGATTCTCCTGACTGGCAGATCTTTTAGGCGCCTAAAATATCAGCACTGGCAGATTCTCCTGACGGGCAGATAGGTTTCCCGTGTTTCGGTTTCCGGTCTGCCAGGTTTTCGTTTTGAGGCGTCTCAAAACTAGTTTTCGTTCTAAACTTGTAACAACAAAAAAAAGGGACCTGTTTTGTTTCTCTGGGAGGCACTGGCCTCTTTTTCTCCGCTTCAGATGGGCGATCTCAATAACGAGCTCCAGGCACTTATGAGCGCCAGCAGCTTTTGAGGCGCCTGCCAACACCGACCTGCCTTCTGTCCTGCCTCATCACCTCCTCCCCCCTTCCTCCCCCCACCCCCCCCTTTCAGATGCATGATCTCAATACCGAGCTCCAGGCGCCTGCCAACACCGACCTGCCTTCTGTCCTGCCTCATCTCCTCCTCCCCCCTCCCCTCCCCCTTCAGATGGGTGATTTCAATGACGCACTCCAGAGGCAGCAACCGCCGCGCAGCCCCTACGTATGTACAAGTCCTGTTGTTTCTACTCAACCATTAACCCGTCTGGTTTTGAGTTATGAGTGGTGCCTTTTGATGCCTAGCTGGTGGCCCTTTCCGAATCAGCTGGCACTTGGCCCGAGGTAGATGCCATTCTTCTCACAAGCTCGTTTCCCACTGACTCCTTGGCCAGCCCTCGATCAAAGCACACAAACCGACTGCCGTCCCTTTTTACGCCTTCTTCCTCGTGTCGGACTCCCCTCTCACCTCGTGTCCCCCCTCACCACCTCCTCCTTGCTTCATCACTTTGTCCGGCACGCTCGTCTCATGGCCCCATCACTTATCCCACTCTCTTCCCTCTCCTCCGTTCCTCCGTACTCGCAGATCGACGATCAGGATCGCATCAAGGCAGCACGGACGGCCTTTGGCAATCCGTACCGGCAGGACAAGCCGGACATGCCCACAGCCAACGAGGCCTTCCTGCGCCTGGACGAGCAGAGTGCAGGCGCACCCAGTGCAGGCTCTTCTGGCGCTGCTAGCAGTGCTGCTGGTGGTGGTGGTGCCTCTGGCGGTGCTGCTGCTGGTGCGTCCGGCAGTCCTAACAGCCCTGCGGGTGGGGCGTTTGGGGCGGGGGGCGGCAGCAACGCTGCTGCTTCTCCCAGTGTGCTGGCTCTTGCCCGCGCCCAGAAGAGGCGGCGCCGGTCAGAGTCCCCCGCACCGCCGTCTCCATCCCCCCCCATGTCTCCTCACGCCTCTCCTCCTCCCTCTCCCTCTCCTCCCTCTCACACTCCCTCTCCCGCTCCTCCCTCTCACACTCCCCCATCCTCGCCTTCACCCCGTGCATTACCTGTCCAAGCCTCACCATCAGCTCCTGCTGCGCGCCCAGCCGCTCAAAGCGGCAGTCTGGAGGGGCTAGTGCCTCCAGCTGCCGCTGCTGCTGCACCTGTTTCTGCTGCTGCTGCAAGCTCTGGTCCAACTGTTGCCCGACCACCAGGCATTGGTGCCGCTGCCTCTGGTTCCCGTCCCGCTCCAGCAGCAGCAGCAGCAGCAGCAGCAGCAGCAGCAGGTGGAAGAACCTCCGTACCTGCACCATCCACTCCCACGGCCACTGCAGCAGCAGTTACAGCAGGAGCCACAGCAGCAGTTGCAGATACACCCGTCGAAGCAGCTACAGCTGCAGGCTGCGTTGATGCAGCAGCAGGTGCTGCTGCTGCTTCTGCAGTAGCTCCTGCTGTTTCTGCAGTGGCGAAGCCACCAGATCTCCCTCCTGCCACTCGCACCACCGTTGCTCCAGCCTCGGCAGAAGAAGTCAAGCGAAGCGAGCTTAGCCATCCACTGTTCATGCCGGAGAGCTGTTACCGGGCGGCACAAGCAATGGAGAGGAGACAACAGAAGGCCATGCAATGGCCCAGAGGAGCAGCAGCAGGGGAGGATCGAGGAACGGGGCTGGGGAGACGGGTAGGAGCAGCTGTAGAGGGTAGAGAAACTGGGGCAGCAGGGGAGACAAGAGAAAGGACTGTAGCAGGGGAGGGTAGAGGAGCAGGGGAAGGTAGAGGAATAGGGGAGGGTAGAGAAGGAACGGAAGGTAGAGGAACAGGGACAAAGAAACGGAGGGTGATAGGGGAGGGGGAGTCACGGGAGTGGACCGTAGATTTGGGACTGGAGGAGAGGGTGGAGGAGCAGGAGGGGGTTGTGGCGTTGGCCATGCGGAGGGGCAATCCTCTCTGGCGCACTGTGCGCACGCCAGCTGGCAATGAGAGGGACCAGGAGGAGGTGGTAGACTTCTTGCTGTCGATTTACCGCGTGCTGCGGTCAGCGCGTCCTAACAACACAAAACAGGTGCGAGGAATGAATTTTGGGGGAGGGGGTGAGAAATAGGGAGCGGTGGAGCGAAAGTTTTTGCTGTGGTCGTACTGCTGTATTAGGAAGCTTGTCAGGACATATCTGTATATATCTGAACGTGGCCTCACCTTTGCATTGGCGTTTTTTTGCAGCTCTTTGCCCTTCTCTCAGTTCCCGACTTCCCCGTGGACAAGCACCATTTTGTACAACAGCTTGTGGAAAAGGTATGGTGGTTAATATTGTTTAAAAGTGTGTAGTGTGTGAACTTTTGTCCAATACTCCCCTCAATATTTCTCTTATATTTTCGTTTTTTGGGGCTTGCAGGCACGTAGATTCAACAAGCCGTTCCTTGTGAGGGAGCTGTCAGATTACCTTGCAGCTCCTTCAACATGAGCATATTCTTTGATCAGACAATATTGTATTGTGTTTTGTTATACAGTTCGTGCTCATCACGAGCATCAATATATCGGCTTATCTTCGGAAGTGCCTGAGCAAAATGTAATCCAGGTGCTGCGGAGAGCAGCCTCTCATGTCTCGCTCTCTGCTGTGCTGTTCGCTTGGCGCGCTATTATTCGTCCTGGTTTTCACTTCCCTAATCAGAATCTGCCAAGTCAGACGCATTGTGGAATGCGCCTCCGTTCAGCGGCTCGTCGTTTGGGACCACCCCCCATCATCACGCACCAAGGCGTGACCAACCAGCTCCCTGCCAGGGCCTTGGGATGATCGGACTTTCTGTGCTGGAAAGTTCTGTCTCCCCAACATCAGCAATCTTCCGAGCCGCGAGGGGAGGAACCGGGCAGGTGAGGAACATCCTGAAAATCATCCGCCAATCAACAGCGAACATTCTGCTTTCTTAGATTCTGGATATTTCTGTTCTGGTCTCTCACCCTGCAGCACCGCACTGCACCACCCGTTGCTGCTGCTCCTTGCTTGTGCTGCTCCTCAGGCTGTTGCTTGAGAAAATTTGCTGCTCCTGCCTGCTGGTGATTGCTGAAATCACTCATGGCAGAGCCTTGTTGCAACTAGCATTTCGGCTATATATTCAGCAGCAATAACGAAGGAAGTGTCGCTCCTTCGGTCTAGGCGAAACCACTTCCCTTCGAAGGCAGCAACCACGAGCCTAAGCCTTACCCAGCCCACCATCAGCAACAGAAGCTACTTGCTGTCACCCCTCCTGTCAATCCTAGCAAGAGGTCGACCCTTCTTGTCAAGCACTTTCTGCTCTTCTCCACGCACTACCGCGGCATTATGTCTTCCGCTATAACTGCCACCATGTCGACATCGATCAGACCCTCGTTCCTTGGATCTAAGGTAGAGCTCCTCAAGGGCCCCGATGCTGCTGGAGCTCGACTGACCATGCGGGTGGGCCCGCGGATTGCGTCGTCTGTCAGCGTGTGGAAGGGCGAAGCCGAGCGCCTTGAAGCGGTCTCTGCTCGCTCCGGACGGTCGCAGTTCTCCTTCCTCGTCGGCGAATATCCCGACGAATGCGGATGGCGCTCGTCAGGGCTTTCTGTCGATCCTGAGACGTTCGCCAAGACGACAGCACTCGAGGTACCTATCTCCCCTTCCCCACCTCTCCTCCTCCACTCTCCCTTCCCTTACCGCCACCCTCCCTTACCCTGTCGACGACGGCATCAACTCCCCGTCACTTTCCTGTTTCCCAGCTTAGCTTGGCGTGTTGGGCTCCGGCTGCTTTACTTCCTTCCTTGTTTCTAACATATGACTTCTCGTTATGGCTGTTTGATCTCCTTCCAGGTTATTCACGCTCGCTGGGCCATGCTAGGCGTCGTCGCGTGCCTCGTCCCAGAGACAGCGTCCCGGATACTTCAATCCTCGCACCTCGCTAGCAGCAACGGCAGCATCGGCAGCTTCACTCTAGGAAGCTCGATCCTCAACACCACGACCAACTTCATCGGATCGTGCAACCTTTGCACCGTTGAATCTATCCTCGCTATTGGCGCGTTTCAGCTCCTCTGCATGACTGCAGTCGAGGGATTCCGAGTCGCAGGGGGGCCTCTCGGCGATGCAAGCGGCTCTGTTTATCCTGGTGGCTTGTTCGATCCGCTAGGCTTCGCAGACAGCAGCAATGCGTCTGAGCTGGCGAAACTTAAAGCCAAGGAGCTGCAGAACGGACGGCTGGCGATGTTCGCTATCATGGGGTTCGCAGCACAGGCAGCCGTTACCGGGAAGGGACCAGTGGAGAACCTGATGGAGCACATGGCTGATCCCAAGGTGCAGAATGCGTGGGCGTATGCAGAGAGCTTGTTCCAATAACGGGAGTCCGTAACTCTGAGCCATGGTCAGCATGTAGAGTTGTTTTCCTCTCTTGTGTCCTTCCATGTACATTCTTTATGCCCTTCTGTAGCTTTGAACGGTATGGGGTATGGCATACCTCTCGTGGCCTTGCTGCCTAGGTGTATGTCTTTATGTGGTGGCCTCATTTTTGTATGAAAGTAATTAGCCTCAATAAAGAGCTGCAAAATAGAAGGACGGATTCCGGAGCGGTTGTCAGACCCGAGGTCGACCCGCGGCCGAAGAAGCCGCGGGCTGTCACAACCTAGCTGCGGGTTTTCTTTTATTGACGGTATAGCGGCTGCACAGTCGCGAACCGTCGCAAGGGGAGGGTTGCGACCATACTGGCCGAACTTTGCAAGTCCACCAGAAATTGGCAAGTTTATTACTGGTGGAAGTTCATTTGCGCGACATTGTTAGTTATTTGGTTTGACAGCTGACTGGTTGGAGCCGTCAGTTTTTCGCAAGACCCGAGGCAATATTTTCCCAGCCTCGGATCTTCCCGCTAAACCTTCGGGTCTAACCCTCGCTGCGGAATACGCCCTAGCCCAGATATGACAGTTGGCTGAGCGCGGAAGTGCTCCAACAGAGGAGGCGTGTGGTGCTTTACGTTACGGAACGGTACAGAGCGCTTCACACTGCGGCTGATGAGGGTGTGAAGTGACTGCTGCGGGCAGGCATTTCCTTGTGAAGGGTTTCCGGATTCGCGAATGTCGTGAGCACTTTCGATCGGACTCGACAGTAGGCGAACGTTCTTTAGGGATTTCGTTGCAGGTGCGAGTGAAGTTCTCCTGCAGGAGTTCTGAGCTCTCCTCACAGCTCCACAAACGGGACATTTGCTAGACATGGCACTGCGACTCGCGTCCTTCCGTTCGTGTTCCGTCGTCTTGCTGCTCCGACAATCGGCATCCAGAGGATGGAATCAAAGCGCGGAAGCGTCACTTTTTTGGGAGCGAATATGCGGATAGGAAGAATCGCAGATTGTTACAACCCAGCTAGCGTAGTCTTCATCTTTCTTCGTTTGGATAAGGATTCGTAGTTATGGAGGACTCGCTGCTCAATGACGTGTTTGGACCGCCGTCACCGCCACCCGATAGCCCTGCATCGCCTTCATGCTCCCCTGTAAGCTCCCTGAGATCCACATCTCTGGACTGGACCCTTGACCCCCACCATCACTGCCTTCCAGCTCTCCAGTAGTCTCCCCCAAGTCTATAACGTCGGACTACAGAAGAGCTTCGGCTTCGCCCTTTACCATGTCCCGCGTTCCTTTGGTTCTCCTTTCAGGTCGCGCTTCGCGACTGCAGCGAGTGTGACTCTATCAGAGGGCAAGGCGAGCGGGAATGGACGCGTGTGGAACAGGTGGAGGGGCTGTGGCTATGCCGAAGGTTTCTTACAGCGAGGGAGCAAGCCATTGTGCTGAATGCCATAGAAAGGGGTACGCCTTCTCAACCCTCGTTCATCTGGGTTGGTTGATAGAGTATGTCATGAGGTAGCACTCTGCTCCACAATACTGAAGTTTGTGTCACCGTCTTTGTTTTCTTTTCTTCTCCTTTAAATTCCGGATTGACACGTTTCTATGGCTCTCTCCATTCTGCTCTGCTGTTCCCCCTGTCTTTGGATCACCCCCCGCATCAGAGAAATGGTTCGACCCACCAGTCAAGAATCAGGTCAGCCAAGTGCAGCGTGCGATCGGGTTGTTGGTATGCTTAAAGTCTCGAGTGAAATTTCAGGCCCCGCATGAGAGAAATGGTTCAACCCACCATTTTCAACCCACCAGTGAAGAATCAGGTCAGCCAAGTGGAGCATGCAATCTGGTTGTTGGTATGCCAAAAATGTCAGGTGAAACTCGCTTTATCATCCTTAAGACTGTCTTGTGGCACATCTCTCTTTCTTTTTCTCACACACTGGCTTTCCTTGTCTTTTCTCATAGTGCGTACAGATCAAATCATTCACCATCCTAGCTTAACATCCTAGACTTTGCTTATTCAAGTCTCTTGACCTGCCAGGCTTCCCTCTGTTCCCCCTCCGTTTTATCTATTTCACTCTGCCCGTCTCCCCCTCAGGCCATGCGCTTTGGCAGCCTTCCCTCCGATTGCTGCTCACCTGGCCCAGCTCTCTTCGTCTGTTCCCCTCTACCTCTTAGTCTGTCCTACTCTCTTCTCGTCCCGTCCACCTGTCTCCTCCTCAGGCCATTCGCTTTGGCAGCCTTCCCCCAATTGCTGTTCGCCTGACCCAGCTCGTGCGTGCTGCTGCGTTGGATCGAGCAACAGTCGCTGCTCCTGCGGCTGCTGGTGCTACTCCTGTTCCTAATGCTGCTGTTTCCAACCATGCAATTTCGATTGCTACTGCCACTGCTGGTGCTACTCCTATTCCAAATGCTGCTGTTTCGAACCATGCGATTTCGGTTGCTACTGCCACCGCTGCAGATCGTACCATTTCCGCTGGAGCAGTAGCAGCAGGTGACAGAGCAGCTACAGTGCATAATTCGGCTAATGCTTGCTGTTGTAACGGAGATGCTACTAGAGGGGATGGAGCGGCTGCTGTTAGGGGAACGGAGGGTGGGTGTGGGGTGATGAGCGCAGAGAGGAACGGAGGTTGGGGGAATGGTGAGCAGAGTAGGAGGGAGCCGAGTGAGAGGGAAGGAGGAGGGGGAGATGGTGAGGGGAGTGGGAGGGGTCTGAGTGAAGATGGTAGTGAGGGGCGAGGGGAGGGAGGAAGTGAGGATGGAGAAGAACAAGGGAGGAGTGGGAAGGGTTGTCAGAAGAGGCGGAAGAAAGGAAAGCATGAGGGGGTGCTGGGGGATGCGGGGGAGAGAGAACAGGAGCGAGGTTTGCAAGAGGCGACAGGTTTTGATGAGTTGATTAAAGCTGAGTCCGAGCAGTTGCGGGCGGTTGAAGCTGAAGCGGACGCTGAGCAGTTACAGGTGCAGCCGCTGTCACGGCGTGTGCTGCAGCGAGAGCCATTGTTCGATCAGATGATCGCCAACTGGTACAGCGCACATGAGGTGAGGCGATTGGGGTGGGGAGAGAGGAGGGGTTTTAAGATGGGGGATAGGGATACTGTAGCATAAGCCGTTGTTCAATTGAATGATTGCCAATCGGTACAGCGGAGGTGAGGTGAGGCGTTCACCCATGCTGTTTTCCACCCATCCACCCATCCACCCATCCACCCATCCACCCATCCACCCATCCACCCATCCACCCATCCACCCATCCGCCCATCCACCCATCTGTGCATCCGCCCATCCGCCCATCCGCCCATTCGCCCATCCACCCATCCGCCCATCCGCCCATACGCCCATCCACTCATCTGTCCCTCCATGGGTCCGCCACACCAACCGTAAAAGCACCTCTCCTATCCTCATGCCTCTTTCACTCATCCGTGGCATGGCATGCACCCACCCGCTGCCAACATGGCATTCATTCATCCATCCTTCCATCCATTGCTGACGTGGCATGCATTCTCCCATCCCCCCCACCCGTTGCTGACGTGGCACAGGGCATCAAGCCACACGTGGATCTGATGCGATTCGACGATGGCATTGCCATCCTCTCCCTGCTCTCGCCCTGCGTCATGACTCTTGCTCCTGCCCCCACCACCACCACCACCGTCACCGCCATCGCCACCACCACTACCATGCCTCCTCCATCTTCCCCCCTTGAGTCCCCTGTTGAACCACCCTCACCTAATGCAGCAACGCCTTTCGATGCAACTGTAACGTCCCTCTCTGCCAGGAACAGCATAAGGGCAAAAAGGGGTGGGAATACTTCGGTGTGTGACTCATCATCTCAATCGCACCTGTCGCCACCTCCAGGGTTTTCAATCTCGCTGCTTCTGGCTCCCGGGGATCTGCTGCTCCTTTCGGGCCGTGCTAGGTATGATTGGACGCATGGTATTCTTAGAGATGCAGCGCACCAGCAGTGGGAGGGGAAGCAGGTTCCTGGGCTAGAGAGAATATCTATAACATTGCGTAAGCTCCTTCCGCAATAAATTTTCTCTGTAACGAGTTTTTGTCATTCTTAGAAATGAATAAACGGGTGAAGCTCCTCTCCGGATCTAGACAAGCTGAGAAAGAACCGATTTCATGGGCAGATCAAATAAGGGTCTGGTTGGCTCGAAACTCGTTAATGTTTCCTGAATTTAAAGGTGGCAGGCGAGGAGACGTTGTTAACGCGTCAATCTTCAAAGGCGTACAGCTCCTCGTGGCACATCAGTGAAGCATTATGAGCATCGATGAGCATCAGCGAAGGTCACCAGGCATTTGCTTTGCTTTCCCCTGACTTCTCACATCAGCACAAGCCACTGACAGGCTCCCTTTCTGGCCGTTGATCTGCCGTTCTGTTCCCGCTCACTGCGTAACCGAAGCTCCTATCACCGTATTTTCGGCTCCCGATGCGGTGCGGGCAGCAAGGGGTTTGTCTGCCAGAGAAGTGAAAAGCGGTCGAACCGCGTGCTGATGCGATCTAATGAGCTAGTAGCGGAGGCATGAGGCTGCTAGTAACGGAGGCATGAGGCCGAGACCAGGGTGGTCGCTGCAGCATTTCGTGCTTCAAGCGAAAGTGAAGGCTCTTTACAGGGATGCCCTCAGGACCGTTCGCCTCGCGCCTGCTGAGTCGAGAGGTCCGTACCCGTTGCACCATGCCTCCTACCTTTTGAGAATTCTCAAAAACCTATCACAGTCTAGAGGTCCGTACCCGTTTCATCATGCCTCTTACCTTTTGAGAATTCTCAAAAACCTATCACAGTCTAGAGGTCCGTGCCCGTTGCATCATGGCTCTTACTGCTGGCTCGTACACCTCTAGGTACGCATGTCGTGCTTCAGGCGAGAGAGAAGGCTCGTTACAGGGATGCTCTTAGGACCATTCGCCTCGCCCCCCTTGACTCTCGAGGTGCGTTGTCGTATTCTGTAGCTAGGCTCTCTGATGGGCTAAGTATAACGTCGTCGCCTTATTCCTCCTTTCAGACAGATGTTGCATCCACACATTAGTCGCAGCAGCTAAGACCATCGGGCTGTAGTGGCTCCTCACCACACCATTAGCCGCAGTTGGCTTTGCAGTCACCTTGGCTTAGTGGCTGCAGTGGCTGCAACTGTTTAGCATTTCTCCCGTTATCGCTCCCGTTATCTTTCTGGGGTGCGTAGCTTTCCAGATGCTATTGAGATTCGGTTTTGCTCCCCTCTGTGCCCTCTGTCATTGCACTCAAGAATGGCACGCATACATCTGTTTCCTGCCATTCATCCATTTCTTGCATTCATAAATCCCACATTCATCCATTTTCCAGAGACGTCCATTCCCAAATACATCAATTTCCCACATTTATCCATTGCCTTAAATTCACCCATTTCCCACATTCATCTGTTTCGTTACATTCTTCCGTTCCCTTACATTCACCCCTTCCCTCTGGCAGCTGATCTGCACCAGGCGATTCGCGACGAAATCGAGAGACTTGGTTTTGAATCAACTCAAAATGTCATTTTGTCACTCTTGCTTTCCACCCCTCTGCTCCTCCCTTCCCTCTAGCAGCCGATTTGCACCAGGTGATTCGCGAAGAAATCGAGAGGCATGCAGGGGAGAGCGAGATCAGCAAGATCCGGTTCTACATGAGCGAGGGCGTGCAGCGACTCAAGGAGCTCAAGGCCATGCTGGATAACCAGGGGCGCTGAGTGAATTGTGCAGGTAGTTTGCCACGTGGCGGTTGCTGCTGTTGCAGAAAGGTGGCTGTTGAGTCGGCTCTAACGCGAGGGCATGCAGCGACTTAAGGAGCTCAAGGCCATGCTGGACAATCAGGGGCGCTGAGATAGTTTGCGACGTGGTTGGATATAGCGAAGCGGTAACCCCCCCCCCCCCCAAAAACAAAAAGTGGCAGCAGGTCTGCTGGGAATGGGAGTTACGATCAGAATTGTGCTTCGAGATCATTGCAGCTTGTTGGCTGGTAGAGACTTCAGGGTGAAAGGATAGACAAGGCGAGGCGTGGGGGATGGAAGTGCGGGGTAGAGAGGGTCTGGAGGTGGAGGAGGAGGAAGAAAGGAAAGAGGAAGTGGGTTATGAGGAGGGAGAGGAGGGGGACAGAGTGGAGGAGGGAGAGGAGGGGGGCGAGGGAGAAGAGGGAGAAGAGGATGAGACAGAGGAGGAGAATGACGAGGAGGAGGATGATGACGAGGAGGAGGAGGAAGAGGAGGAGGAGGATGAGACAGAGGACGAGGAGGATGAGCCAGAGGACCCTCCAATGGTTCTCATTCCATGGCGTGCAGTACGATGGAAAGATGGGGGCGAATTACAAGAGTCACAGCAAAGCAGCCTCAGCAATCAACCGCTCCCGATCGATGTGTGGCTGCGGATAGCCCATGCTTTGGCAGATTCGTCTCTCAGTAGGAGCGGTGTGGAGCCAGGAGCAGATGCAGCCGAGTGCTGCTCGTGGCCCCTCGTGCTGAGTGCCGTTGCCCTCCCCTGCATGCGCCACGCCCTCACATCCCTCTCCTCCCTCTCCTTTGACGACACCTGCCGCTGCCCGCACTCCTCGATCACTCTCCCCCAACGCCTTCGTAGCTTCCTGTGGCTTTCCAGACTTCCCTCCCAGCTGTCTCACCTCTCCCTCTCTCTCTCCGCCTCCCCTCCCCCTCTCCTCCGCTCTCTCGTGCATTCCTTCCCCTCCCTCGCCTCTCTCACCTACCTCCATCTCTTCTTCTCCCGCCGCCTCTTCCCCCCTCCTCGCCTCCTCCTCGCTCTCTCTCGCGCCTCCCGCCTCCAGTCGCTCGTTCTCAGCCATGCGATCAAATTGGACGGTGGAAATGCGAGCAAAACGGACGGCCATGATGGGAGTGAAACGGACGATCATGACGGGACGATCATGGTGGAGGGAGAGATGAGGGAGCTGATCTCAAGGATGGAGCAAGGGGAGCCGAAACAGCCTCTCGGACAGGACGGGAGGCCCTTTGCATCTCTCTCATCGCTGCACCTCACTCTCGCCGTCTGCTCCCCTCTCGTGCTCCGCCTCGTCGCCTGCCTCGCCCCTCAGCTGCTCTCTCTGCGCCTCATCTCCTCCTCTGGCGACTTTCAGGGTGGGGAAGAGGGCGATAAGCCAGGCAAGGAAGATGCTGAAGTCCCGGGCATGAGAGGGAGGACAGGAGAGAGTACGAGAGGGAGAGAAGGACAGAGCATGGGAGAAGGGGGGGGACCGCAACGAGGGGAAGGCCATGCAGGGACACCTGAAGCAGGAAAGGCCTTTGCTTTTCACCTCCCCCTTGTGACGGAGGTTTTGATCTCAGGGATTGACTCTGCGATATCCCTGTCCGCGCCTCGCCTCACCTCCCTTGACTTTAGCTGGTGGAGTCCCCACTCTCGCCTCCTCTTGCTCCCCCCCTCCCCTCCCCATCTCTCCTCTCTCTCCCTCACCCTCAATCACTCCTTCCGCTGGGCCTTTCATGCCCCTCACCTTACCTCGGTCGATTCTCTCCGCACCAACATGCTGCCGAAGGATGCCGCCCATCTGCCGCCCAGTGTGGTGAGCAGTGTCAAGGCCCTGCAGTGGGAAGTTCGACTCTCGCGGAAAGCGTCTGGTCGGCTGGACCTGAGCGTATGGCGCAGTCTCTGTTGTTTTCACCTGACAGGTTGGCACGCAGTGTCTCTGTTGTCGCTGCGGTCAGGTGTTATCTGGCCAGGTGGATTGGAGGGGTTGTTTGTGGACTGCATTGGGAGGGATTTTCTGAGGGAGTTGAAAAGTGCGTTGAGAGAGGGAGATGGAGAAGGCATGTGTGAGGGGGCAGATGGAGTGAGAATGGCTGCTGGGGGAGAGGGAGACGGGATGTTGGGGGGAAGTGTGGGAGAAGACGTGTTGGGAAGGGGAACCGAAGAAGGACATGGCGTTGAGAGGAGCTTGATGCAAGCAGTACAACGGAAGCGCAGGGAAGGTGGTTCTCCTGAAGATGGCGAAGAGAAGCGAGTAAATATCGAGATTGGGAGGCTATGTGGCTGTGAGAGGCTTCTGTGGTTTGAAGGGTGGTATTCTCAAGAAAGCTTGTTGTATGTGTGGGATGCAGCATTGGGGCTATATCGGTTACCAGTAGTGAGTGAAAAAGCGGGCAGGAAAAGGATTTCTGAGGATGTGAGGAGTTTTTTGGAATCCAAGGGGATTGGCCAGCTCATTGGGTTGACTTGAGCTAGTTAGATCGGCCTTCTTGGTAGGGAAATAAAGTTCAGACCAAGAATTATTTCTTTGCATACTACTGCACCTACATTGATACCACATCAGTTCCATGGACAAACCTTGAATCTCCTCGGTTTTGAGCAGGGCCAGAGTCTAAACGTAGAATTGAATGTCGAGAGAAAAACGTACAAGGGTATAAGCCTAAGTGTTGTACCCTCTAAGATACGAACCTATACAGTCTATACAAACATAACCTATATATATGTTTGACACACCCCCTGGACTGCATAGGTGTAGTTCCTGATGAGAAAAATGGCAACTCAGGGCGGCACTACTAGTCCAACCTCTGAGTCAAGGGTCTAAAGACCAGTCAAACAAGTACAGACCAGTACAAGGGCAAGGCCAGAGCGGCACTACTAGTCCAGCCTCTGGGAGAGGCCACAAGGCCAGTCATGAATAAACAGAAGTATATATAAAGGTCAGTACATAGTCAAGCCCCTAGCAGGTGAGAGGTAACAGGAACAAGGCCTAGCTGTACACAGTGCCGCTGATGATCTTTACGCGCAAGGGCCTTCGTAAAGATATCAGCTGTGTTGGCATTGGAGGTCAAGTGTACTACGCGGGCCTGGCGACGCTGCTGCAGCTCGCGCAGGAGGAAGTACCGCAACTGGATGTGCTGTGCTCTGCCCTCAAGTCGAGGCTCCTGACACAGGAGGATCATGGCCCTATTGTCAGCGTACAGGACTGGTGCAAAGCTAGGCCGCTCACCTAAGTCAGTGAGCAGGAAGGTCAGCCCGCGGAGCTCCTGTGCCGCCATGGCACCGGCGTAGATCTCGGCCTCACAGCTGGACTGGGCAACAGACGAGGAGCGAGTAGCTCTCCACGAGACAGCACCTGAACCAAGGCTAAAGCAGTAGCCCTGCGAGGACCTAAGGGTCTCTGCGCCGTCTGCCCAAGAAGCGTCTGTGTGCCCAGTAAGGACCACCGGCCTGCGTCCTCCCAGCACTAACCCCATGCTTGATGTACTCGCGAGATAACGCAAAACCCTCTTAGCTGCAGACCAGTGCTGAGGTGTGTGTCTGCCTGTGGCCACAAAGCGAGCCAGGATGCTGAGAGGGTATGCGAGATCTGGACGAGTGCAAGTCATCAGGTACATGAGGCAACCCACCAGCTCTGCGTAAGGACCACTGGGCTCTGCTGACTCCTCAGGAACTGGAGCAGAGAGCCTGTGATCTCCTGGAAGAGGTAAGGGCTGTGCGGAGGAGAACTGAAGACCGAACCTCTGAAGGACCTGGCGCACCAAGTGTGACTGGGTGAGAGTGATGGTGCGCGCTGCTCTGTCTCTGGAGATCTGCAGACCCAGGTAGTGGTGCAGCTCTCCTAGGTCAGTGCAGGTGTGTCTCCTCAGCAGCCCAGCCTTTACAAAGGCCAGCGCGGTGGTGTCTGCAGTGGCAAAGACCAGATCGTCTACGTAAACAAGGATGTAGAACGGAGTCTAGCCAGAACTAACAAAGAGCGAGGGGTCTGCGGAAGACGGAAAGAACACCAGGTCTGCAAGAGTAGCACGCAGCGTGTCGTGCCACTCGCGGGGAGCCTGACACAAGCCGTAGACTGGGCGCCGCAGAAGCCATTGGGTCCCAAGAGGGAAGGTACCAGTGAAAGCCTGAGGGCGGCGCAGGTAGACCTGCTCGTGTAGACTGCCCTGAAGAAACGCAGTGGAGAAGTCAAGGGAGTGTAACTCGTAATCACGCTGTGCTGCTACGTGTAGTAGTGCCCGAAGAGTAGTCATCTTCGGGGTCGGGGCGAAAGTCTGAAAGAAGTCCACCCCCTCACGCTGACTAAAGCCTCTAGCCATGTAGCGCACCTTGAACACAAGCGGCTCTCCAGGAGGGCGCTTCACCTTGAAGAGCCAGCGGCCATCGACTACGTTCACCCCAGGTGGAGAAACTGCGTCGACGTAGGTGCCGGTGCATCTCCAAGATGCCATCTCCTGCTCCATGGCAGCTATCCAATGCGAGGCCCAAGGTGTCACAGGATCGAATGACTCGAGGATCGATTGCACTGTCGATCAGTACAAGGTGCTTTTATACTTCCAGAGTACATCAGGTAACCAGGTTTATCCTATCCAAAGGAATAGACCCTTCTAGAATATAGAATCACCCTGCGTATAGCCACGCGAGGCCATTGGCTTTAAGGGATTACGGCAGGATTACGCTGGATAATGTGCCAGTACATCCCAAGCCTGGTCGGTGATATAATTATAATAGCAGGATCAATCAAAGAATAATGGAAGAATGGAGAATAGGAAACCAAATGAGATGAGATAAAAAGAAGAATGAAATAGGAAGGAGATAAGAATGGGACAAGTGGTGTAACGGGGTCGTACTCTCACACTTCCCCCCCTCAAAGCTGGGTGGTAGAAGTAACACCCTGCTTGACAAGGTAGTCATGCAGAGGACGACGGGCGTTACCCATGTCGGTTTCAGAGACCCAGCTGTCCTCAGAAGGATCATAGCCCTTCCAACGAATAAGAAGCTCCACGGTGCCATTCCGACGTCGACGATGTGCAAGCATGGACTCGACCTCGTACTCGGGTTCATTCTGGACGAGGACGGGTGGCGGCGGCGGCGGCTGGCCTCCCACGAAGATCGTGTTAGGATCCCGATAGGGCTTTAGAAGTTGGACATGGAAGGCATTGTGAATCTTCCAGGTAGCTGGCAGGCGTAAGCGGAAGGTAACAGGGGTAACCTGTGCTTCAACGAGAAAAGGTCTGCAGAAGCGAGGTCGAAGTTTAGATGGGAGGTGGCTGATGTCCAGGTTGCGGGTGTCGAGGAGCACCTGGTCTCCCACGGAAATGGTGTGGTCGTTGCGATGGCAATCGGCCTGGCGCTTCTGTTGCTGTTGAATGTCAAGGAGGCGCTTATGGGTCCGATCCCAAAGTTGATGCATGGTTGTGATGAAGTCGTGTGCAGGTTGGACTGTAGCTGATGTTGTCGGTTTCTGTGGTGTGAGTGGGTGGCGTCCGTAGCAGAGGAAGAACGGCGTCTGTCCAGTAGCGGCATGTGTGGCGTTGTTGTAAGCAAACTCCAGAACGGGCAGGTGCAAGTCCCATTTGGAGATCTCGTCCTTGCAGGCTGCTCGGAGGAGTTGCTCCACAATCTGGTTAAGGCGCTCGGTCTGTCCGTCTGTTTGCGGATGGTATGCGGATGACATGGCGAGTTTGGTGCCGAGCAGAGACATGAGTTCCTTCCAGAACTTGCTGGTGAACTTGGGGTCTCGGTCGGAGATGAGTGTAGTTGGAATGCCATGCTGTGAGATGATGTAGCGAACGAAGAGTTGTGCTATCTCCTCGGTGCGTGCCGTCGTGTGTGTCGGGATGAAGTGTCCCATCTTAGAGAATTTGTCGATGACGACAAGAATTGCGTCATGACCGCGAGTGGTAGGTGGTAACCCGGTGATGAAATCCAGGCTAACCACTTGCCATGGCCGTTCTGGGACAGGAAGAGGCTGTAGTAGTCCTGCTTTCTTCTGCTTACTGCTCTTCATCCGTTGACATGTATCACACGAGGTGACGAATTTCCGAACATCATCTGCCAAGTGAGGCCAGTAGTAGTGTTTTGCGATACCGGTCAGCGTCTTGTTGCTACCGAAGTGTCCGGCGTAGAGGACGTCATGGTATTCTTCGAGTAGTAACTGGCGCAAAGGAGGGTAATTGGGTACCCAGATTTTCGTTGATCCTTTCCGGTACGCAATGTCGTTGCCCCACTGTAGTAGATGTCATTTTTATGCCAAGGGAATTTCGAGGTCGATGGTATACCCGTGTGTGAAGAGTCCCTTGAGTAGTGGATTCATCCCTTCGGCCTGAATAGCGGCAACGTGTGCAGGCCGGCTGAGGGCGTCTGCTTTGTTTTTGTGGCCGGGCTTGTACACGATGTCGTAGTGGAAGTGTGTCTCGAGGAAGTCAATCCACCGGACCTGCCGCCTGGAAAGGGTTGGTTGTGTCTTCAGATATTTCAGACTGCAGTGGTCGGTGTAGACTGTTGTTTGACGTCCTTCGAGATAACATCTCCATGCTTTGAAGGCGATGACAATAGCAAGAGCCTCTTTGTCGTGTATCGGGTAGTTGAGTTCTGCCCAGTGCAGTTTCTTGCTGAGGTAGGCAATTGGTTGCAGTCCATTCCCCTGGTCTTGCACCAAGACTGCTCCCACGGCCTGATCACTGGCGTCTGCTTCAATGACGTAGTCACGTTCGGGATCTGGCAAGATGAGCACTGGTGCGGATGTCAGTGCTTGTTTCAGCTGCTCCACGGCTTCCTGGTGCTTCGTCTCCCATTTGTAGGGCGTGTTCTTCTTCAGCAGATTCGTGAGTGGTGCCGCGAGTTTCGCATACTGTGGCACGAACCTGTTGTAGTAATTAGCGAAGCCTAGGAACTGCTGCAACTCCTTCACGTTCTCGGGTGTCTTCCACGTGCGTACGGCCTCGATTTTCTTGGGGTCGACGTGAACTCCTTGAGCGCTCACCATGTGTCCTAGGAACTGGACCTTTTCAAGGGCGAATTCGCTCTTGGTCAGTTTGACGTAGAATCGTTCTCGTCGAAGGATTTCGAAGACGCGTCGCAGGTGTTCGACGTGCTGCTTCATGTCGCGCGAGTAGATGAGTATGTCGTCCAGGTACACCACCACGCACTCGTCCAAAAGTGGTCGTAGAATGTGGTTCATTTCGGCTTGGAACGTTGCCGGTGCGTTGGTGAGTCCGAATGGCATTACCAAATACTCGTACGATCCGTACCGAGTTCGGAAAGCAGTTTTGTGGATAGAGTTGTCCGCCATCCGTATCTGCCAGTATCCGGACCGCAGATCCAGTTTGGAAAATACCGTAGCTCCCCGAAGCTGGTCAAGCAGGTCATCGATTCGTGGTATCGGATACTTGTTCTTGATGGTCTGCTTGTTAAGAGCTCAGTAGTCGATGCACATGCGCAGGCTTCCGTCCGGTTTCGGGGTGAAGAGTACTGGGGCACCGTATGGTGAAGTAGATGGTTGGATGAGTCCTTTGGCTAGGAGATACTCGATCTGCTTCTTCATGTCGGTCAGCTC